CAGTTTTTGCGAAATACGCCCGTTTTTCACTTAAATAGGACGCTGGGGTAGGGCTTTGTGAGGCCAAAAATGGCTGTATTTGGTGTATAAGACACACCAACATTACCATGCTCTTTTAGTGGGGGGAGGAGGTGCATCCTATACTCTGAAAAATACGGTATATTTACATCTATATACCTAAAATATTTTTAAGCATTAAATGATATAGTTAGGACCCTTCAAGAGGAAGTTAAAACTTAAACTCTTTGATTTCCCTTCCCCATTTCTCAAAACTTTGGAGCAGAAGGAAAAAAAGAGACAATGATGTTTCCCAAGGTGAGAGAGATTGTGGGGTGGGGAGATTGAAGAAGGAAGGAAACAAAATTAAAAACATAAATCGTTTGGCAGCTTATCTCATAAACGGCAACCCAGCCCAGGTGGTGAGAAAGCCGGGAGCAAACATTTCAAACTATTCAAAGAGACTTCGCCTTTTATTGGCACCTATGAATTTCTGCCAGTTCTGGGTCCAAGAAAGGCAGCCTGAAGTCCCCTTGTACTCATAGATCTGGAGAACCTCACAGCCAACCTAACTGTTGTGGCCCACCAGCGGCCAGTGGAGCTGGCAGCAGATTCGGGCAGTGAGGAGGTTGGGGAGGAACCTGGCCAGTCCTGGAGTCTGGGGAAGGCTCTGATGAGAGCTCTGAGTCGGAGGCAGAGAGGGGGCCAGAGCCGTCTGACAGATATTAGCTGCCTTTGGAGTCAGACATCAGTGAGGCAGACGAACAGCTGCAGCCTGTTCCCAGTGTGCGCATGTGCAGAGTTGCCAGATGAAGGGAACAGCTATGGAACAAGGGTCGACTTGGGAGTAAGGCCACAGGTGGATGGAGAATGGCCCCTCCCCTAAGGAATAAAAGAGGAGCAAAAGGGGAGGGGTGTTTGCAGGAGACAATTAGTTCATTCCTGCCTTCTTGCCAAGTATTGCGGGTTCTGAAAGATATCGGCCTGGCCACTCTCCACACCTGATAAAGGTCAGTATTTGTGAACTATCTCGAAAGACTTTGCTGGAGAGGAATTCACTGTAAATTAAATAAAAGGGGTTTATCGGGAAGAGGACTTGGCTTCGTGCTGCTGGGGAATCCTAGGTCAGAACACTAACTGGTATATCAAGCAACAAGCAGAAAGGTTGGTGGACAGCAGGTGGGAAGATGGTCCAATAATAGCCATCCCCATGTGGTTTAGACCAGCTGTGTGAAGCTTGACCCAAGGATCAGTGAAGCCATGGAGGGAATCGCATGACGTTAACCACACATCCTCCCTTATCTCTCCTCCAACTCAGCCCTGAAAACAAAGAGAGAACTACTGGAAGGAGGTTAAAGGGCCATGGGAACACACCCTGAGGATTGACACACCTTGACACACCTAGACCAACTTGAAAGCTAAAGGTTCCCACCTCTCTATGGCTTCCTCTGGTCAACATGCCAATCCATTATGTGCTGAACTTGTTGCAGGAAGCAAGCCAATTTGTTTCAGTGTTGACTGTGCTGGGCAGTGGTGGGTTCCAAATCCCGTTCCAAGCAGAATGGTTGGAACAGGCCCGGCATCACCAACATGGACGCGCGCGGTGCACGCACACACAAGCACGGTGCGCGCATGAGGCGTACTTGCCTGTGATGCTTCCGCAACCTCCATGATGTTCCAACTGCTCGGCGGAGCGTTGCACTGGTGCCGTACACGCCAAAGGCTTAAAGGACAGGTAAGGAGCTCGGGCGGGCGGGTGGGCCCTCTGGAGCACCATATCCAAACAGTACCCGGTGTTCCAGGCAGCTCCTGTACACCTGTACTAGGGCATACCGCCTGCAACTCATCACTGGCGTTGTGTGACCCTATTCACTGTGCTCTACAAGACACGTTTTATGGCTTGTGTTCTATGAATCCAGCCAATTCTAATTTATTTAGCCAACCACGATTCACCGTGACATGTGACCCCAATCATAGAAACAGGAGTAATTACAGATGAAATATTTGGGCAAATGGCGGGCACGTTTCAGCAGCTTACCTCAAGAGTGGTTTGAACAATCTTCTCCACAGAAGAAAAATACGTTTCCCATAAAAACTGGGTTTGCTGCTGGAAGGCCAGGATTTTGTCACTGTTCAGACATCGGACCGTAGATGGAATCTGTTGAGGAAGCAGCATGATCAGAAGACATGAAGGGGGGAATGCAGAGAAGATTATGATCGAGGGAACAACCGCAATCATTTTTATAGAGATGTTTCAGTCTTTCAGTTTTAGTTTAGTTTAGTTTTATTGATTTTGTATGCCGCCCACTCCCGAAGGACTCCGGGCGGCTTACAATAAAATGAGGGGGATAATACACAAAACAACATATTAAAATATACAACAGTCACAAATTCCAATTAATTTTACAGTGTTGTGTTAGTTTTCCAAGCTTCTAAGGATCTTATACTGCTTATACATTTCAGTG